CCCTGTTTTAAAAAACATGGTATTTAGATTCAACAAGAGAATTTGTGACAAATTTGACACTTTTTGAGAATTTTTCACTTTTATCCACAATGTTTGATGACTAAACTTAAAATATTTACTGCTTTTGGTCAGAGCTGTTAGCCCTGCTTGCTAATACCAGTCCCAGGAATCTCAAACCCTGATTATATTCACATTATAAACATATCAGAGCATTAATTAAAGTTTAAAGTTATTTATCTACTTCCTTAGTTGTCAGACTCATGTTGAACAGGGATTTACTCTGATAACAACTTAATGATTAGGACACAGACCTGTGGGTTAGGAGATGCTAATGCTAATGCTAAATCTGCATTTTCTCCCGCCGATACGCATTTTTTTGGGAATATCGGCGTATTCAACTGACAGGAAACATCAAACCAGACCTGAAAATATGGTACCACTTTATTAAACGCATACCAGTATAATAAGTATTAGAGGAGAGCTGGAGACTAGCAGACAACAGTAGCATGGTCATCCGTAGAAAAGAGGAATCGACACGACTTTCGTCTTTTTACGCAACACTAAACACAACAAACCCCCTTTTTTCCCCACTAGAGTGACTCCACAACTGTGTACGAGTAATATGCTGTACAAACAGGAATAAAAGGTCTGATTTTTGTCAGTTTATTATCAACTTGCTGGAGTTGTTGTGTTAGCTTTTATTAAGCATTTCTTCACCCGTTCACATTCCTAACGCCCGGGTTTGGTCAGCGTGAGTCAGCCGGAAAAGCAGCGTTCCAGCCAAAGCCTCCAGGGGGCGTGGCCTATGGGGGCGTGGTCAAAGGGGGCGTGGCCAAACCACGACGGGCCTCTCTACTTTATCTGTTTGTGGTCGCATCTGGATTGTTCAGACCAGGAACCACGAGGCCCGATGGGACCATTAGCAAAGGTTTTAACATTCAAATGAAAGAAGAAGAAGAAGAAAACAAAAACACCCGGAGTTTTCCCCGGAGTCACATTAAGAGTTCGGGTCCCAAAGTTATTCGGCGAAGGGGCGGAGCACGTGCACAAACACGAGTTAGCCCTGAGATGACACCCCCCCACATCCAACAATCGCAGAAACAAGGGGGATGAATATAAGGGGCGCACACGGGGGGGGGGGAGCTGGTGTTCGACTCCAAGATCCGGTTTTCAGGACCCGGTTTGTGCTGGAATTAGCTATTAGCTAAAAGTTCCCACTGGGAGGAGGGACTGGTTTAAAACTGGCCTTGGGAGTCCAGACCTGATTCCAGACTAGAGTCAAGAACTGAATCCAGATTTGAGTCCAGACTAGAGTCAAGAACTGAGTCTAGAACTGAGTCCAGAACTGAGTCCAGACCTGAGTCCAGACCTGAGTCTAGACCGGAGTCCAGTCCTGAGTCCAGACTGGAGTCCAGACTGGAGTCCAGACTGGAGTCCAGACCTGAGTCCAAACCTGAGTCCAAACTGGAGACCAGACCTGAGTCCAAACCTGAGTCCAGACCTGATTCTAGACCTGAGTCCGGACTTGAGTCCAGACCTGATTCTAGACCTGAGTCCGGACTTGAGTCCAGACTGGAGTCAAGACCGGAGTCCAGACCTGAGTCCAGACCTGAGTCCAGACCTGAGTCCAGACCTGAGTCCAGAATGAGTCCAGACCTGATTCCAGTTTTGGGGAAGCCAATGCTCAACCGAAAAGTCAAAGGAGGAGAAGTTTCTGGGACTTTTGACCCCCGTCCTGAAGGGGTTTAGCCCCAGCTAAAGGCACTGATCGCGTACACATCCAATAAAAAGACGATGGGGGACTGGGGGGGCAAAATGAATATGATCCATCGATTTAGACCCTCCGGATCAGCCTGTTTGGAGCTTCAGAGGAAAATTAAACCGGGAATAACTGGAACCTGTGCCCCAAACATTCCCATCCAGTGGATCCAGGGTTGGACTTAATTCCTCCGTCTCTCTGGAATCCCGACCCTGACAGCACCGTACAAATCTGTTAAGGCAGATGTTGAAAGGAGATCCCAGAGAGGGTTCAGATCCGTCGACATTTGAGGGGCGAATCGCCCACATATTTAGTTATGGTGGCCGTTTTAGCTGTTTTAGCTCACGCTAAATCATCCCAGAGTCTTTTAGCCCGATCTCTGGCACAGACCGCCGGTTTTAAGGCTGTTTTTAAGCTACCGAAGCACGAGAAGCAATTCCAGTTTCAGGTTTTTTCTTTTTGTTTCACAGCTCGAGACCCAGTCCACAAACTCCACAGATCAGAACAAACGAGAGCTTCAGACATTTCGGGTCGAACGGGGGAAAAGTCGAGCGCTAGAGCAGACATTCTTTCATTAATGAGGGATTCACATCAGCAAATACGACCAGATACGAAGCAGACTTTCTTTGGTTCCACCTTAAAGAAGCTGGCTGATGCCCGGCTCAGGAGTGTTTCCACTTCCTGGTGCAGAGAGCATGTTTTAGGGGGTAAATTGGGCTGTTTGGTTCACGTTTGGGGGGCTTTTCCCGGGCTGACACATCCGTAATGAAGCAGCTGGAAAAGGCGGGGCGGAGAAACTCAATCCGAGCTCCTCCGGATCCCGAACGGTCCCGAGACGTTTCTACTCGGTGAAGCCTCGAACTAAAACGACGACCGGCTTGTCTGTACATTCCTTTTGGATTAGGGAGAAGGAACATGGTTGGATTAGGGAGAAGGAACGTTCATTTCCTCAATGCTGTTTAGAAACTGTTCAGAGTTTAGGGCGAGTTCAGAAAAATGGTCATCCGTGAGATGATGTGCAGTTAGAGGAAGGAGAGTTATGCACCTTTAGGAGAACGGGTAGTTTTAGGAGCTTAAAGAGGCTGTAATCCGGCCTGGAGCAGCTCTGTCCAGCAAACAGGAAACTAGAAAGTCTCAGAGGGCTCCAGATGGACGTCAAACTGCTGTTTCCAGCAGCTGGAACAATCCAAAAAGTCGTGAAAGTGGTGACAACCTGAAGTGCCCATCTTTGCCTCCTAGTCCACCCAAAAGCACCAGGGTGGGACCTCTTTATCTCTCTACTTGGGGTCCCACCTTTCTCTCACTCCCGCATTCACGGGAACGAACCTTTTCACCGATTCAAAGCAGTCGGTCGGTCTTCCAGAGCCCAGAGAATCCCATCCCAGCTCTGGTTTTTCCAACCGGCCGGCCCAAAAAGTCCACAGGAGGGGAAAAGAAAATACATTTGTTATTTATATTATATAATAAATAATAAAACTTTGTTCGTATATTTCTGTAAATATGTGAAAAAAGAAAAAGTCGGGCCAAAAGAAGAAAGAGGCTTGCTAGCAAACTGCAGCAGCTACAGAAGCAGCAGTTATTCAAAATAAAATCCTAAATGCTGTAAATGGCCTAATTCAGATCATTCAGTCTTTGTTCGGGAGGATTTTCAGTTGGAGGAAATTGCTGCTGAGCAGGTGTAAGTTTCACCTGAGCTAGAGCCTCGAAACCCTTCCAGAAAAACAAATCCACGAAAAACAAATCCTCCAGTTTAACCCCGTCTGAGCCCTGAGGAGATGAGAGCCTCATATGGCCACGCGGAAAGACTCCCAGCTGTCCTCTTTGCCGTTCTTGGCGGCGGCCATCTTTTCCGTGCCGGCGTCCCCCCCGTCGGGCTGCTCGCCGGTGGGCGTGGCCCCGGGCTCCCCGTAGTACTCGTCGTCCTCGTCGAAGTAGCCGTTGTCCATCATGCCCAGGCCGGAGGCGGCGCTCAGGTCCTGGCAGCTGCCCTTGTACTCCTGGATGGACTCGTGGAGCGACCACAGCTGGCAGAGCAGCGACATGTCCTGCTGGCGAAGGCCCACCTGAGGGGGGGGGGGGGGGGG